CAGCATTTTAAAAGACAAAGATCCCTCCACATATAAAGGAGAATTTTTTTTTGTCTACAGTCAAAAGTCAGCACAATATTTCTTACATGTTTTTTTCTAAGCGATTCTAGGTGTGGGAATTAATTCCAGGCCATTTTGGGAATAAGACATGCAAAACACAAGATGCAAGGCCACTGAGAAGTCTGTAGTTGTTTTCTGTTTGAGTCTCTCAATTTCTCCACATTGATCAAGCTCAGCTGGAGTGCAGTGCTCTTAACACCTCAGACTAAGCAAGGCATGATGATATTGTCCACCCAATTTTTGACAAGCATTGCATTTTGTTTGCCCATTTTGTGACACTGTTTATCCCCTTTACTGATCTTTTTTCCCTCCACCACCCAGTCAGTGAATTTTTTTTTTCCTTACCTGAAGCTGCTGCATCCTATGACTTCCTTCAGTCACATTTACTTCCCTTCACTCACTATGCCTCTGAAACTTGCTCATCTTCTGTGCAAGTCTTCCCATCCCCCTTCTCTGATTTGGCATTTCTGAACATTATTTTAGATCATCTTATTCACATCCAGCATGAAATGAGTTCTGCCAGCAGAAAGACACAGCAGCTTTACTGAATGTGCTCAGGTTGCCTGATATTGCTTGATAACAAAGAAATTGCAATTTCTGACAGGTAATGCTCTCAGATGTTAAGCCTGGGACAGCCACAGGGCAGAAAAGTCCTTCCTAAAGGCACATTCCCTTTTATTTATCACTAGCCTGAAACACCATCTTTCCAAGATGCCAATGAACATGGTTTGCTTTTACCACTGTCTAGGTGCAATTTGGCACTGTATACCTTACACATAAAAAAATATAAAAAATAAAAATTGCTTTATTTTTTTTTAATTTAGAAGATAAAAATTCAGCATCATGCACAGCAAAGGCCTTTATGTTGTAGAATTATAGACAGGAAAAGACAATGAAGTACATCTTATTATATTCAGTGTTTATTTTTACACTGAAAGACATTGCTGTATCTTCCTGACATTTTTGTTGGCAATAACAGGGTAAAAATGCTTTATTACACAAATTATATACTTCAAGCACAGTGCTTTAAAATGAAAATTACCTGTACAAAAGAATCTTTCAGCCAGTCTACATAGGCAGCTGGAAATTGGTTTGAATGTATGCAATTTGCTTGTGAGCAGGTTTAATGTAAATCTAGGCACTATTTAGTTACATTTTCATAAATGCTGGACATGAGGAATGAAAAAATTCTGTAGCAAATGATGAATAAAATTGAAAGCTAAATTCTTAAGGCATTTTTTTAAGAATTCTAGAGTCAGTTATCTAAGGAACTTATGTATTTAGATGAGATGTGGCAATTTAGTTCCCCTTAAAAACATAAAGCCCCACCCTAAGCTGATCATTTTTCAGTCTTCAAGGACTAGCAGTTATTAGTAATAAGTTAATACTCCTGTTGACATCAATGGGAGGAAAAGGGGTGAGGAAATGTTAAGACTGTGGGCAAATAAATGTCTTTATAATTACTCTATTCTTAGAATCTTGTGTTGGAATAAGTAGGTTAAGCTTTTCAATGCTAATAGCTAATACAACCTCCATCATAAACCTTCCTTCATTTGAAGCCATCAGATTATGACATTTACTCTCCCCATTTAGTGAGGAGGAGTGGAAGCCACTTGCTATAATATGTCTGGTGTCAACTGATTTCTTTTTACTAACAATTGGACTTGATCTTAAAGGTCTCCTCCAACCCTGATGATTCCATGATTCTAGATTTGTGAAGTGCAGCTCTTGCACAGACAGTTGAGAAGGTGCAGAATATTATAGTCCTCCTGTGTTGAATTGTTTCTGTATGCACTGAAATTTAAAGAGATTTTAGGATGTGTTTGGCAGTAGCTTTCTCTGTATAATCAGGTTGCTATGGTAAACCTATTATTCTATACAAAGCAAGAGTATGTTTAGTAAAGTGCTGATCCCTTTTCAGTATAATGTGAGCTTCAAATTACTTTCAAATGATTGAATTTGTTTGGTAAGTATTTTATCACAATAACTAAGAGAAGAAGGTCACAGATAAGGTCTGACTTCTGATATTTCAGTAGCTGATACATCCTATGTAATTAGCTGTTCAGAAGCAATAGGACTTTAATTCTATGTTAAATTATCTCCTCTGAGTGAGACACATTACATAATCTATCCAAAATCTCTTTTGGAGGCAAAATGTACTTTTTAAGCCAGTATAAAGTTGTGTTCCTAGTGTTTCTCATGTTCCTAGTGCTGACTTATAATGTTTGTAAAAGAATGATCAACTAATAATTTGAGTATCAGTTTCAGCTACAGTGTACCAGGCTACTATAAACTGTAGTTCTGAATACTCAAAAGTAGAGAAATAGCTCAGAGAAATCCTTTTCCTGAGCTCTTGATGTCTATTTCCAAGACATCTTTTGAGGTCTGCAGTCAGGTGATGTAAAAACATACTCTGAACTTAGGTTGGGACACAGCCAAAGTAAAATACAAGATACAGATATCAATAAGGAATTTGGGCTTTTTGAATATATGTGTTGGTGCTTTATTCATTAGTTAACATGACAAGACTGAGAAAGTAGGGCATAAATTCACTTTGTGCTTGATTTTGAGAAGACGACCTGGGCTTGTATCTCATATAACAAAAACGTGCCCTATCTGCCAAGGACTGGGTTTCCCTCCATATTTCTGCTGGTAAAACTGTAGCACATTAACTAAAATGCATAAATATTGCTTGCAGCACGGGCTGAGAGGAACCTGTTCCCATTGCAGTGCAAGTGACCAACCACTGGGCTCTCAGGACCTTCCAACTTATTTAATTCAGCATTACAGAAGGTAATGCTTAATTACAGAACATGCAGGATCCTCATTCAGGACCTTCCTTTGCTCAGCCTTCTGGAAGGTTTTCCATATTTGCTGACTCTTTTCATCAAAGCAACTTGCCAAATCTGATTTTATTGTCCTTCAGGCATCCTCCTTGTTGTAGCTATATCTGGCCTGGATACCACTGTTTAAGATGGTTCTTTTGTTTATTTTATAGAGTCTCCACAACAGATGGGTCCTGTTCATCAGGTACCTGTCTGCCTACAGAGACTGAACGTTCTCTGGGAAACAGTGATGTGACAGTTTTGTAAAAGTAATCAGGTTTTCTAAGGTGGTTGCATAGAAAGGAACTATGATAGCCCTAGATAATGCCAAATTAGACTCCACTAAGTGCTCTGTATACTTAAGCACTAATTTTTTTTTTTCAATTTCTACTGTAGCTGTCCTTGGCAAATAATTCTAGTTTAGAGAATGCAAGCAAATAACACTGATTCTTCTGTAGGCAATCACATCATAAATTTTGAGATGATTACCAAGCACAATTGTATTTCATGATGTGGTAGATACACTTCCTAAAAGAAGTTTCTTTCTGTTACAAATATGCTCATATAATTACCAATGCAACATAGTTTTAAAACTATGTATGTCATAAAGTTATGATGAAGTATTTGCTCTAATTGTTTTTATCAGCATGCCTTTTTAAAAAAAAATATTCTTGCACTTTATGCCCTTCTAGATTGACTCCTGGCACACAGAATGTCAGCTTGAAAGTACATTGAGGCTTGGAAAGGTGAAGGGTATAGCAGATATAAAGTGAACTGGGATTCCCCCTGCCCTGCTAACTTTATTAGACTGTTTCTTAAAGCAAACAAAACAACAAACAAATATAAGAGATTTAGGTTATAAGTTTGGACAACCACCCACCGAAATAATTAAGAATGACCTGCCAGTATAATAACCTAAAAGGTTTTATTGTCACAAACCTACAGTTAGAAAACCCCCACTAAGGTTCTCCTTAACAGTCCTTTCCCATTCAGTAATGCTGAACAAGGTTAGTGCAGTGTGTTGTGAACTGTCTGGTTACATAACGAAAAGCTGCACTTGGAGGATTTTTTACTTTCTAGCAATATTTGCTCTTACTGTGAATTTGGGATCTGCAGTCAGCAGAGCTGTGGCCAGGCCCAGGGTGAGCCTCTCTGATGCTGTGGCTAGATCAAATCAAGAGGAGCAGGCTCTTCTGCACCCGTATCTATGTCTCTGGTGGTCCTTTTTTTACATGCAACATCCTTTCCCAAGCCCATCAAATGATCCACGGTTTGTGTCATGTTGAGAACATTCTCACTGTAACATTGCATAAAAACTAAAAAAAATACAGAGGCAAACTCTTGGAAGTTAGGACCAACGTTGCCTGAACTGAGTTTGTCTCAGATATGTGCAATGTAAGACTGTCCAATCTTAATTTTTTTCATATCTGACCATTTTGTACTCAATGCTCTGAGGATTTTGAAGTGGAAGATGTGTGGGAGCTTGGGTAAATCTGTTGCCCCTTTAAGCTCTGAGGAGTTCTCCTGTAAACAGGTTGATGGAAGGGGAGACTCTGACAGAGGTTGTACTTTTGACTTCTATTTCCTCAGATCTAAACAAGGAAAATTACAGGGAGTTTTGCTTTCAAAATGCTTGACAGAATATTTGCTGAATTGTTTCTACATGAGTAGAGACTATCATAGTGCATAGACTATTTAATTCTGATCACATTAATTTTGGAGTTTATGAGGTGTGTGCTAAATAATTTCGATCAATTATGAAGGTTAATTATGCAGATAAGCATGGGCCATAGCTCAGCTATGCCAAGTTCAGATGTGAAAAGCCTGGAATGCCAATAGTTGCTTATTGTTGCTGTATCCACTAAGATATAACGGTGATATATTTCCTTCTGGTTGGGATAGTTTTGGTTTGCTATGTTTTGGTTTGTTTGTTTGTTTTTTTAATTGTGTTTATGTCCATGCATTAAGTAATGCAGAATTTGTCTTTGGGGGGTAGGATGTAGAATAAATTTTGGAGTTTATTTTAATTTTTTTGATTTCATTTTTATAATTTTAATTGTAATTTTTTTTTTACTTTATTGAAATTATGACTCTATCAATTGTTTATTCTTACAGGTAGATGTGAATGTGGCCAATGCACTTGTTTTCCTCCAGGAGACAACAGAGTTCATGGCAAAAACTGTGAATGTGATGATCGACAGTGTGAAAATGCAGATGGGAATGTCTGTGGGGGTATGTGTTCACTTAACATAACATAACATAACATAACATAATCTTGATAGTTTATACTTTCTGTTTCTGATTTTATAACATAATGTCACTACAGACATCGCTAATAATAATAGATTGAAGATTTTTGTAAAGAAACAAACTCTAGAAATATCAAATATGTTAGTGAAGTTTTATTTTAAAACTTCAGAAATGCTAACACTGAAGTGAATTAAATACACCTAATGGCATAAATGTAAGTGCCATCATATATCCTAAATTCCATCAGTGTTCATTAGAGAAGAATACAGACACTTTTAGGAAAACTTGAAGCATTAGGTAATTTTACTTTAGTAAAATTGTTTAGTACAACTAATGTTTTACCATGAGTGTTGTAATATACCTAAAGGTACTAATGACCAGCAATGCTCTTAGACACTTTATATTCACTGACAGTGATTTGCCTGATTTCTAAAAAAGTAGTAAAAATATATTATGAAAGAATCTAAAATGTTTGAGAGATATTGTCATACTAATTGCAGATGCAGATGGTTTATTTTAGTCTTGAATGTGAAAATCTCTGTGATTTCTCAGTAATGTATGTTGGTGTTTAGCAGTATTTCAAGGTAGTTTTGGATATGTAAATGCATATGGTATTTTAAAAGCATTTGAGTAGTGTTTACCCTAAATGTTCTCTTTCTAGATTTATTTTTAAAATGACTCTTAATGATTCTCAATATTAACAAAGTAGCTTATATCAACAATGACACGTTGTATTATATTCCTTATTTCTATGTAAAAAAAAACATATTGGTTCATAATCCTTATGTACATAAAACATTTTGACTACATGGAATATTTCTTCAAGGTGTCTGCCATGCAGGATGTAGGCATGTATGGAAAATTCTGGTTTGAATATCTAACCAACCAAAATAACAATTTATAATGTTCACTGTAATTCAATAATACCAGTGCGTAGCAAAAAGAATAATTTCTAATTTAATTTTGTGTAAAGGACATAAAAGCAGGTAAAAGCACTGAAAAGCTGTGTCATATTTGTTATAAATTAAACAGTTGGGAACCAAAATTCATCATCTTCCATGGTTAAAAACATCTCTTCTGTTTACACAATTCATACTTTGCACTATTTGACAACAGTCCTTCAATGCTAATATTGCTAATGATCTTGCACATTTTGGAAATTATAGACAAAAATTCCATTCTTCCTTATTAGGAAGGATACAGGGACAATTTCAATTTTTGATGCTGACTAGAGTACATCAGACTTAAACCACTCATCACCTCAACACCTGAGCCTGTGCCCAATTTTCTACAGAACAGGAGACACTCTAGGTCACACTTTTATGTGAATAACATATTCCCTTTAGTCTAAATAGCTTTGTCCAAAGAGAATAGCAGAAATTAATTAATTAATTTTAAAAACATGTGCTTTAAGATTATTTTCATCATTTTGAAATAGCAAATACAAAGGGGAGCCTGGTCATTAACTTATGAATCAGTTGTTGTCTCCAGCTCAATTTTTCCACTTCCATTAGTTTAGTTACTAATGATTCTCTCCAGGTAAAAGGAATTATATGGGAAAATGCAATTCAAGTGATTATGCCCTGCTTGAAATTGCACTGCACAGCACCTGGCAGGACTTCAGAAGGCTCACCCTGTGATTTTTTTCTGTTTCTGGGAGTTGAGCTTGTTCCTAATTCTTTCCCCACAATCATAGAATAAGAATCCTGTTGTCCTGGGCTTTCTTACAAAAAAACAACAACAAGAGGAGGAATCATGGCATAAGGTGATGATTAAATCCACCAAGATCTGACCTGACCTCTGCAGTGCCTAAAGGGAGACAAGAGCATCTTTGCTCACTCAGAGCTGTCTGAACTCATTGAGGTGTAGCAGGTGTCTAGGGTTTCAGCCTTCCCAGTTAGAAGTCATGCCACTGCTAATACCATCCTCTACAAATTGTAGGATTTATGCAGTAAATCTGTTGGGATTTTAGGCACAAATAATTGCCAGATTGTTTTTTTCTTATTCTTTTTATTTAATTTCTTGTTCTGTATATTATATTTCTAAATATAATTTAAGATATTTTTAGATTATTCTGGATTTAGTTGTAATATACTCCTTGAAGCAAGTTCCTATGTTGTTGCTATTGCATCATTCTATCCATGTTTGTTCTTTTACAGACAAGAACTAGTGTCCACTTCCTCTAGTTCTGTCCCCATGACACAGAAGTGTTTCTTTGTTTGCACATTTTTGGTTCTTCCATGTGAAGTGCACTGGGATTCAAGTTAACAAACTGATGTCTTATTAATCTCACAGTTCTCTTCCATGCACCACTTTTCCTTCTCTTGGGTGCTGGAGCTGTGAAATTTCAAGTGGCTCTTCCCTAATTTCTTCTCTTTCTCCCTCTCTTACCTTATGCCTCTTTCTTTTCTCTCTCTCTCTGGGGGGAGGCCACCCCCCTCCCAAATAAGCTAGGGGAGCACCTATCTAGGTGTAAATACTAAGTAGAGGAATATTTAGATGTAAGTAATAAGTAGAGAAAATTTATTTTCAGATGATCCCCATCATTTGCATCTTTCTGTTCAACAGCCATCTAACAAGCGCTCACCTTCAGATTCATGAGTCATTTGACAATTATGCGTTTTCAACTTTCCTGCAGCTCCATTGAAACATCTCCTCCCAGAGTTTCTGACCAAATATATGAATTTTTGTCACTGTTATCCTTTTCAGACCCTCAATAGCCTCTGATGCTACTGACAGTTTTAGCTCTACTCTTTAGAAATAGTCAAATGTTTCGCTTGGTATCACTTTCTTTCCTGGCAACATTTTGAATGCTTCCTTTGTTATATGATATTTCCCATACCTCTCTTTTTAGGACATTCTAGCACTTTTAACTTGATTTTATTTCCTCTTTTGCAGCTTCTCTGTTCATAGAATTTCTCATGAATTTTGCACTAATAGCACACACATCTCTCTTTTGGGTTTGTCCATCTACCATCTCAGCCTGAACTTCTTCACACCTCTTGCTAAACTGCTTATTCCTTTCTCTTTCCTTGTCCTCTTTTTGTTACTGTTTTTCCACCACTGTTGCTACCTAGGCAATCACTGTCAGGACATAAGCCCTTGCTAGTAAATCTGTCTTCAGAGAATTATAAGCTGGACTCTGTGAATGTGCAGGGCCTGACAGTGAGCACTGAGTGCCTGTAAGTGCAAAGAATGAAGACTGGTGTTTTCAGATTAAATGCATGCTGAAATGAGAAATGTGAATGACAACCTAAATGATTTGAATAAGAATTGTTACTGGCCTCCTCTGACCAGCAGAGATTGATTAATAGCTTGCTTTCCAGACCAGCTGTCCACACCACAGTGGAAAGACACGAGGCGAAAGATATGATAAATTAGGGTACAACCAAGTGAGACCCTATTACCATGTTTCTGCATGATTGTAGTGAGTCATTCACTTAAAAATTCAGCTGTCCATCAATGCAGTACCAGGAATAGAGACATTACATCTCCACAAAGACAGAGGTTGCAGAAGGACTAGGCATAGATTTCACAACACTCTGCTGTTAGAAATTGATTCATATAATTATGGAGTCATAGAATGGTTTCGGTTGGAAAGGACCTTTAAAGACCATCTAGTCCAACACCCATGACGTGGGCAGGGAACCTTTCACTAGACCAGGCTGCTCAGGGCCCCATCCACCCTAGCCTCGAACATTTTCAGGGATGGGGCATCCATGGTTTCTCTCAGCAACCTGTTCCAGTGTCTCAACACCCTAATTGTAAAAAAAATAAATCTCTTCTTATGCCCAAGATACTTCTACTCTCTTTCAGTTTAAAACCATTAACCCTTGTTCTGTGACTATGGACCTCGGTAAAAAGTATTTCTTTCTTATAGTATCACTTTATAATATAGAAAGGACACAATAAGGTCTCCCCAGAGCCTTCTTTTCTCCAGGCTAAACAATCTCAACTCTCTCAGTCATTCCTCATAAGAGAGGTGTTCCATCCCTTTGACCATTTTTGTGGCATTTTTGTGGACCTGCTCGACCACGTCAATGTCTTTCTTGGACTGGGAGACCCCAGAGCTGGACATATTACTCCAGGTGGAGTCTCACCCCAGTAGAGTGGAAGGTGTGACCCTCCTGCTTTCCACATCCTTCCCTTGTGTTCCCTTTCCTTTGACTGTGCCTCTGCACAGAGACTCAATATGTTATGGCTGGAGGAGAGCTCTTATGCAGCCTTTTTGAGATAGATATGTTCTACCTAAAGGCCCATCCATACAGTTCATTTTTTTCAGTAATATAAGACTGCTACAGCTATAGTGCAGTGTTGATTCACAGAAATATTTAGTAACATATTTCCTTTGGCTTTACTTGGTTCATTGAGTCTTTCATGTGCAAGTTAAATGGTTTTGGTTCACACACATGACCAGAGAACCACAGGTTTGACTGCAAGTTCTTTCTTGACAAGACTACGTCACTGATGTACACCAGGCTTGAAATTTGCTTGTCCTGTATCCTGTTCAGAGATGCTTCTCTCTTCACTCTGATGTTATGGCTGTCCTGCTAGCTGTAGATGTGTCCTGAGCTTTCAAGAGTTATTTATTTTCCTACTGTGTCCTGTTATGTTTTTCAGTGATGTCATTATTGGCTGCTCCACCTCACTGGATTGACTGTTGTGCATTATTTTCTGTCTTCTTTCAGGACTGAGGGCAGGCAGACAACAAGAACTCAGAATAGTAAAGAACAATTTGAAATTGATTTGATAATGCTGGTTTTTGTTAGTTGATAATGCTTTTAATTCCATTCACTTTGACTTGTTCTTTGGACCATTCGATTTGTTCTTTGGACTCATCGTTTCAACATGAGACTGGATGTGGCACTAGGTCTAGTAACGACGGTAGGGTTGGACTCAATGATCTTTGAGGTCTGTTCCAACCTGGTTGATTCTATGATTCTATGATTATTGGTGTAGCTGTGAGTTCTTTTAGCAGCAAA